TACTCAGCATTCAAAAAAGATAAACACATGCAGTTTGCAGCAACATGGATGGAGTGGAAGGGATCATGCTCAGTGAAACTGGCCAGTAAGAAAAAGAAAAATACTGGATGGTCTCACTCATAGCAGGAATTTAGAAAACCTAAATAAGGGACCAGGAAAAAGACTAATTATAATAAAGTAAAAATCAAAATCAATAAGCAACTATAAACCAGAGACACACTGTGGGGCGGGGGAGGGAGGGAGTAGGATCAAAACAAGTGGGGGTGGGAATTGTATGGGGACTATAACCAAGATGAAAATGCATACACTGTGCAAAAATGAAAACTGATGTAAAAAATATATAAAAAATAAAAATAATATCTTAAAAATATACTATTATCACCTATTTTATGACAGATGTGCTGAAAGACTATTTTGCTTAAGGTCACACAACTGGTTTTGAATGCAGGCAGTTTGACTCCACATCCTTCCTCTTAACCATTACACCACATTCCCTTTTTTGAATTCCAGAATAGAAATTCATTTTATGACTTAGGTGACTAATAGGATGGTGACACTACTTAAGGAGACCAGGAAGATTTATTCTGGACATCTATGGAGCTAATGAGTTCAGTTTTAGATACACTGAGTTTGAGGTCCTCTGCCAATCACTTTGCTGAGGTTTGAATCACAATGGATAATTGCTGACTCTAGCTAATTCTTTCTTGAGTTCTAGAAAGTGAGATACTTATTAATGTCAATACTCATTAAAACTGTGGTTTCTGTACAGGTTGAAAGTAGTGACACACCATGGAAATTGGTGGGAATGTGTAATCAAACTCCTGCAGCCCATTAACCCCCCAAATCAGACCCTAATATGAGGCAAATCACTGAGAGCCATACTATTGTGTATTTTTAGTGTGTATTCAGGAATATGATGATCCCTTCTCTCACCTCAAATTCTATTGCAAAGATAAAGGAATTTCATATTTTATTGAACACATTCTAAGTAGCAATTATAGCCAAAGACCACTGAGTTAGGGTCATTGTGACAAAATGTCGAATGGATAGACAACTCAAAATTTCTTTTTAATTCACTTAAGACAAGGCAATGCCAAACAATATCTGCTTGAGAGAACTCAAGTCAGCCAAGATTCTGCCCAGGCCCTCAGATTCAACTTCCATTGCTGTCAGATGGAATTACTCAAAAATATTTAAAAGGGGCAAGTTAGGTCTACGATACATCATTGTGCCAGAGCTTTTTGGTTGCTGCTTATTGTTAGTTTTTTTTCTCCACTTGCCAAGATTTAAAAATGGGTACAAGATAAAATAAATTTTTGAAGTAGATTTCAAATCTCTGGTGGTTGTTGGATTCGTTCCTTAATAATCTTGCCTCAGGATAGGAGGGAAATAAAAAAATTCTCAGAAATAGGTAAGTCTTGATACATTTTCCTGTCATGCAACTTGTAGATGAGACCAGGGAAGACAAGTTGTTTTATATTTAAATAAACAACCTTTCATGGTGCAGAGGTCCTCTGACAATGTCTGTAAATTTCTCTGTGACTCCTAACTCTTTAAGATGCATATAGTTTTCTCTAATAAAATTTCATGATATAAGGGCTCGTTCAAAAGTTTGCCCATTGTCCTAGAGCGCAGTGAGTTCTCCCTTAATTTCTCCCAGAAGTTCACAAGTCAGGAAGTCAGAAAACCGCTGTAGACAAACACTCCACAGTTTTGGCTAAGTTTGTAGATTATGTTAGGGGTATCTCTCTCCAAGTACAAGCTGTACCCATAACAGAATGATAAGCATGCCAAGCTACTCAAAATAGTCCTCCCAATAACAACACATGTGTTTGTATTAAAATACTATATTATTATCCTTGGAAAGAGTGAAGTGACTTTTCCTTTAGATCCTACGTATAAAAGTAATGAGTAGAATAAAATTTGTAGAATTGAAAAAATAGCCCATAAATCCAATTTCACCGTTTCTTCTGAACTTATAACCAGCATATCGGACAGTACACATGCATATTCACCAGGATCTCATAGATTGTTCACTCTCAACATGCCTGACATCTTCAAGTCAAGTTCTCCTTCTTAGAATTTCTACTTAAGTTGGTGATAATCGGGTACCCAAACCAGAAATCCAAGGGGACTTTTCAAATCCTCCCTATCCTTAGTTTTAAACTTGAGTTGATGTGTCATCCTCTACATATCTTTCAGGTACATTCTCTCTGTCCCACCACCACTGCCACAATAGCCTTATTTGAGACCCACATCATCTCCCATCTGTACAATTGCAACTACCTCCAAACTAGTCTCAACTATTTCTAGTCTCTTGACCCATCCTATCTATCCTCCCTCCACAAACCAATGGACATAAAATTTCTAAATTACAATCTTATTTCCTTCTTAACTATCTCTCCCATCCCTTGCCTCAGTGGCTTCTAAATTCTTACATAAGAAAGTCTGAGTTTTTGGTATGGTGCCTAATGTCCTTCATTGTCTGAGTTGTCAATACCATGTTATCATCTTTATTTCACAGTAAAAGGTTTTTTTCTTTTTACATCAATAAAACAATTTATTTAGAGGGGAAAAAAGTGGAGAGAGAAATAAACACACCAGCCCATGCAAGCCCAAAATGAGGGGATCCTTGGTTGCTGTTGGTTCTCCTTTTCTTGGTTTGGTTTCACTGAAATTTAATCATTTTTTCTACCTTTGGTTTTGGGAGATAATAATTTCTCTACCCTTCCCAGCATCCCCTTTTTTTTCCTGAAAAGCTACATAATCAAACATTGAAAGTAATTTCTTAACTGGGGAATTTTTTTAAGAAAAGAAATGAAAGAAGATCTCAGAGTAATCTCAACCTACATGATACTGAATTAGAGCTATGTATTTTAATTCAAACCTGCTTTACTCTTTCACCAGGATTATGACATACAACCCCTGAATAATACAATGTGTAAGAAAGTGTAAAAACACTGCATCAAAACAAAATTTTTATAGGTGCTTTAAAGGAGAGACTAAATTGCTTTTATTTTTTGGATCTTATCACAAGTTTATATAGGAGCATTATGTATTCAGTTGTACAGTCATCCTAGGATCTTTGATTTTTAAGACTGGAGAGGGTCTTGATCAACATTCTATTCTTTTTTTTTTTTTTGCCTCTATTTATTTATTTATTTATTTATTTGTTTGTTTGTTTACTTATTTATTTTAATCTATCACAGTAAAAGGTCTTTGAACATTCCAGTGCACTTTATGCTTCATACATGTCCAGAATGGGTCAGTTCCTTCCATGGTCACTATGGAGGTAACATCTAAAACCTCTATTAAAACTCCCTCACAGCTACATTTTTAGTTCAGAGAATTGTCTTATTCAGGTTTCTTGATTGGCAACGTGTTGTATCCATATATTCCCTCTGATCCAGTTTTTACTCAGCTTCTCCTTAATATTTTCTTCTGCTTTTCTCCCCTGTTTCCAAACAGGAGAGACCTCAGGCAAGTGATATCTTGTCCCAAGTCCTTCATACTAAATACCAACAAAGGTCCATCTGAAGGGATATATGAGTCTCTGCTTTTGTATAACAGTGCCCTTCACCTCCTCTACAGATTACAAATGCCCTTCATTGATCATAAAACCCATTCAGTGTCCCCAGATTTGGGAAAAATACCCTGTTCTATCCAGATTAAGATAGTGGTTCCCTTCTGTTTGCAGTCTACACCTTGTACACCTTTCTATTTTATTTATCTCTTCTAGGGTATCATCTTGGACAATATCTTTAAGTTGGCTGTGTCTGACCTATGAAAATGGGATAAATGAACTCTTTGTTCATTGCCATCACATAGTCAATATGCAATAAGTATTACTAGAATTGGTAGAAAGGATACATCAAACTAGGAATAGAAAACCATCTACAAGGTGGCGATACATTTTTGTCATGATTATTTTAAGGGTCAAGTTTAGGATTTTGTAATTTTAAGTTCCTATTACCTACATAAAAAAATTTTATGGGGGGCCTCTCCGGTGGTGCAGCAGTTGAGCGCTGGGTTGCGAAGCTGCCTGCAGCCTCTGCAGCGCCGGTTCGATCCCCGGCTGCTCCCCTGCCACTGGAGGAGGGTCCCACATGGCACACAGACCTCTCCTGCCGCCCGCTGCTCCCCTCAGCAGTGTACTTCGGTCCTTCTGCCTGCTCTGTTCCCTGCTCTGGCTCTGGTGAATTCTCTCACCCTCCCGCGCTTCTGACTATACCCAGTGCTTGTATAAATAAATAAATAAATCTTTAAAAAAAAATTATGATCCTGGACATAGTAGAATTGATATTGTTGGGTCCTAACTCTCACAAAATTCCTTTAGAAAACTGTAGCAAAATTAGCCAAAGAATATTAATGTTCATGAACCCAAATTATCTTTGTATATCATCTGCACTCAGTGAAGTATTTATTCACACACTGGGCTGTTTGAAATGAAGTTTTCTGATGAACTTATGAGTTGCCTCCATTTGTTGAAATGGTTTCTAATCTGTGTTAAAGTTATGATGTTAGACTCATGATTTATAGATGTGTGCCTTTGCACAAACACCCCTCCCCAATATCAGAGTTTATTATGCAAATAATTCTTAGGGAGTCAAATGAGGATTTTCCCAAGGGTAATTCTGTTCTCCATATGGAACAGATCTGAAAGTCTGCTTTCTACCCTCATTAAATAATTTGGTAAGTCACTCAATGATTACCAACAATGGTCTTCTCATCTTTCCCCTCTATCTTTGTTCTTCTAGCCCTTTATACTTTATTTAGTATTCTTGAAATCACTCTCCAATTAAAAAAAAAATTCTTTTGGTTTCTACAATACTCAGCTATCCCGATCTTTTTCAAATCTTGACTTTTACTTCTTCAGCTTACAAATGTGGGTATTTTATACACTTCAATTTTGAGAATTCTGCTCTCTCTACTAATGATACCTCATGTTTTACTTGTACAGATATTTGTAATGAATAAAGTTAGAGAAGCATTGTAAGTACCTTTCTTTCCTTCTCATCTTTATGTCACAAGACAGGGACAGAGGCTGCTCTTTTTCATGGATTTTACTTTCCTTTTCAAATTTCTGATAACAATGCAGTTGTGTAAGCTTTCCCAGAAGAATATTCAACCTGAGAAATAGTTGTAAAAATAATTTTAAAGAAAAAATATACGTGACTTTTTCTCATTTAAGGGGAAAATGAGAAATCAGAAAAAATAATACAAATTTTGTATTCTTAGGTTCACAACAATATGTTTACACATATTTTTTACAATATGTTTACACTTTTTTTTTACACATATGTTTACACAAATATGTTTACACACATTTTTCATTATCAGTTAGGAATTCTGAATTTCCAAAATCCCATTTCTTAAGTAGTAACACTTACGACCCTGTTAGGTCCTAATTGGATGCAAGAATTAGGACCCAATCATATCAATTCTACCATTTCCAGGATCATAAATTTTTTATGTAGATTAAAATATTTTAGCTTCCAAAATCCTTAATCAATGCTAATTTATAGATCAAATTTTTAAATACAAGAATATTGAAGACTCGGGCTTACAAAAAATGTTAAAATAATTCATTTCCCTCAAATCTGTCTTACTAAGCAATCACTCAATAAGTCAGGAGGAGAAAAATAAATACTGAATGGTATCACTAAAATGTAGAATATAGAGAAACCAAACTAAACACCAGAGAAAGACAACCTTAAAAAGCTAACTCTTGAAAACTGACTCTATAACTGAAGCATCCGAATGGGGGAAGAAAGCACAAGAGACTACATGGTGAACCTTAGGTGATTTGGTGGTGGGTACCCTACAGTGGTCATACTTGATAGAATCCTAATGTTACTACAATTAAAAGCACAAAAGCAACCAGTCACTGAAAGGAGAGAAACTCCTTTGTTGCCCCTACTGGCAGAAGTGAGTGGTCAGTTCTCTCTCTGTTCTTTAGGTCCACAAATACCATATGTGTAAATAAAACTCACAGTTGGCTGAACCATCTCATCTCATTGTTTTAACCTCACCCATAGATGATTCACATTGTGTCTATTCAACTGCAAACTATTTTGTGAACTCAACATAGAAAAATCAGTCCAGCCAGCATTTGGACTACAAGAAGATAGGAAGTCTATAGAGAGCAGATTGGAAGAAGCAAGTTCTTTCCAGGATCCCAAAGACTTGTGTTTAGCTAGTTCCAAGGAACAAAGCATAGAATTAAGCAAATCAATGGTTTTATTATTGCAATGTATAAGGTCTTAAAATGCTAAGTAAAAATAACAAGTATTTGTAAATGGTGATTATAGGCCTGATACAGAAAAAAAAATTTCCTTTCTCTAAAAAAAATTTTCCCTTCATAGTGATAATAAAACAAAGGGGTCAAAAACATGACAAAGAGTGAAGAACAGAAGGAGACAATGTCATTTAAGGACCACGGACCATTTAAATGTTTGTGTGGTCTTTCTGCCTTAATAATATTCAGATGCTCAACTGTTTTTCCCCCAGATTAAAAAATACAGTAATTAAAGATGTGAGGCCATCAAGAAATCTTTCTGATGGTCAGATTTTAAGACAGCTAGATTTGTTTTAATCTCCCCTCCTCTATTTTATTTTGTTTCAGGATATTTTTTGAAATTTTGCATGAAACAAATATTTTACAGTTCAGAAAAAAATTCACACACTTTTCTTGTACAAATTTCTAGAAATCCTTGGCTAAGCAAATTACTCAACCAAATGCAGTACTTACAGAGTATGCCAGAATGTTGGTTACCATGAGAAAAAGTCATCTACATTAAAACTGTGGTTTTGAATCCTTCCTGAAATGGAGTTTAAGGGTGTTTATTTGTTTTTGCAATCTTGAGTCCATATTTTATTTTTAGTCTAGGAAAGCATTCAAGGTGGGGAATTTTCATGCCTTTATCCAAATAACACCCGTGGTCACTTTACTAAGAAGCGTTGCAAGTTCATCACTCGTACCCTCTTCATCTATTAACACAAGGTTCTTTAAAGATTCCCTACATAATTAAACCTCTGCTTATTATTATAATCAGGAGTATCACTGAATTATAGATGCATGAAAAGTCATTTCTCATTACCTGTTTGGACAGAGAGTCACAAAGAGTTTTGAGTCACTGGATTATTTATTTTTCATCCTTCATGCTACTCGTTCATTTTGATTATTTTGTGGATTACCACACTATGTCTTCATCAGGCATTTGAAACTCATTAAATTTTCAGTATTTTGTTGTTGTTTTTTTTTTAAATAAAAATGCCTGAAAGAGGCAACATGTAGAAATGTGCTCTATCTAAATAAATATCAGTTGATGGGACTTAGTAAACCAATCAATATGTTAAAATCTTTTAAGTGTTCCATTTTTTCTACCTTTTTTTTAACTTGAGGTATAACTTACATAATATAAGATACTAGTTTTAGGTGTACAACATAATGATATGATATTTGTATACATTGCATAAATGTAGTTAACATCCATTTTCTACATAGTTATAGAAATTGTTTTCTTGTGGTGAGAACTTTTAAAATCTATTCTCTTAGTAATGCTCAGATATTCATATACAGTATTAACTATTGTCACCATGCTGTGCATTACATCCTCATGGTTTACTGACTTTGTAAGTAGATGTATGTACCTTTTAACACCATCCATTTTGCCTAAGCCTCACTTCCCACCTCTGACAACCATGAATTTGATCTCTGCGCTTATCAGTTTTTTAAAGAAATTCCACATACAAGTGAGATAAAATGATACTTGTCTTTATTTTTCTGATTTATTTCACTTAGCAAAATGCCCTCAAGCAAAATATCCATATTGTTGAAAATGGCAAGATTCCAGTCTTTTTTTATGGCTCCCTGTCTTGGCTAATAAGTGATGCATAATAACCATGGATGTGTGTATATCATTTTCTTTGGATACATACCCAGAAGTGGAACTGCTGGATCATGTGGAATTTTTATCTTTAATTTTTGAGGAACCTCTATACTATTTACCATAATGACTGCACCAATTTATATCCCCACATTCCTTTTCTCCATATCGTCACCAATATTTGTTATTTCTTGCTTTTTTATATAATATTCATTCTACAGATGTGAGATGATAATGTGATTCTGATTTGAGTTTCACTAATGATTAATGATGATGAGCATCACATACAGGCTCCTGCGTACCACAAAGTCACATCATTCATCAAAAAGTCTTAATTGATCACAATATTTTTGAACTGGAAGAAAGTTTTTAAACTTTCCTTCATTTTACAAATGAGGAAACAGACTAAGAAAGGTGAAGAAACTCTCACCAAAGTTACATTGATACAGAACCTATAGTTGATCATTCTTACAAAGAATAAAGAAAAAAAGTATCTTTGTTTAACTTTGGGAGAAGCTTGTGATACTCTACACTGTCAGGTTAGACATGGGTAGAGGTGAGAAAGAGGATAAGCACATTAAGGTAATTCTTCCTAACCCCTTTAAGACAGGACATTGTCATATTAATAATACTTCTGAAATGAATATATTTACTACACCAGCTATGCTTTAATACACTGACCTCCATTGAATATAACTAAAGTGAGAAAGAGATTGACTTTTGCTCACTCCCTCAATCTCTTTGAAATCAGTAAGAAGTTAAAATTACAAATAAATACTGTACTCTTTGGAGGAGTGACATTTCAAAATTCAAAGGATATCAAAGCTGTTCTCCTTTAAGAACAAAGGAGTCTAAGAACTTTTTTACCCCAGCCAACCTGATTAAAGCAAACTCTTGGTATCCTAGAATTTCTCCCCAAATCAGGAACCTTTTTAGTAAAACCAGAGAGCAGTCATTTATGAGCATCCCCTCATCTTTAAAAAGGCAAACCTTGCCATCCACAGCAATTAAAAAGAACTCTGTCCATGTGGGGAACATAAAATAAGAATATGGCTCAGAGGAAGCCAGTGAAAGTAATTTGGTAAAAGGCAAAAGATTTATACAATCTGAAGAGAAACCAAAGTATTAGTGAAAGTAATTTGGGACAGGACAGTGCCTTTGGAATCCTTCAAGTTACACCATGGACTAGGTTTGAATATGAAAGCAGAGGTTTTATCATAAGGTGACAAACAAGCAATAACCTCAACTTTAAATATCAAAGACTTCTCTAAGTTGTCTAGTACAACAGCCAGTTGATCCAGAGGGCTGTGCTATGGTTTGTGCCTAATTAATTTAAATAGAACCTACATTAGCAATATTAATTTTGGCTTGCACTGTTAAGAATTTTTTTCTAAAGTTTTCCTGCATCCATGGAATTTCCCCAGCTTCTTAAACTGTCAAATCATTTGTAATCTGTTGAAAGCTATTTGTGACCTTTTTTGAAGCTTAAAAAGAAATAACTCCATCTGTTGGCTACATTACCAGAGGATTCTGGACAGGAAGAAAACTCAAAAGTAAAAAAGAAGAAAGACAGTTTTTCTCCTGACCTTTGTAATTGTAATGTTATGTTAATTGAATCTGAATTTCTTGTTAACAGCTATTTCATCGAACATTTCTGGGAACTGTATTAAGTCAAATGTTTATAGGAAAGCAGGTGTTTTCACTCTCATTTTTGTGTCTTCCCATTTTCTCCACAATATCCATTTTCCCTTTTTTTTTCTCTTTTTTCTTCATTCCTAAATGAGCTCCTGACCCTTTACCTTATAAATTTCCTTTAGTGAGAAGTTCCTTGTTTCACAAATATTTGTTGAAGAAATAATTGATGAAAATCATCACTTTCTCTGAAATGAACACTATTTGTATGTAGGCTTAAGTAACCATTTGTGTCATAGATTACTAATACTTTTTTTGAGAGATACCCATATAAATATGACCTTCTGTTGCACTGTATTTTATTTTATAATTCAAAGTAGAAGCCTATACATTTTAAAACTAGGGGAAAAATGCCTTTTCTGTGTACCCTATTTTAACCATTTCTTAGGATCTTCATTTCTGTGTAGAGGCTGGATTCACCACCTCTCCCTCTGCTAACTTCAGTTCTATGGTCAGAATCGAAGGGTTTGTTCTTGTTTTGTCTGTTCATTTGCTTTGTTTCTTTACATTCCACATGAGTGAAATTACCTGGTATTTAATTTCTCCTTCTGACTTATTTCACTTAGCATAATAACCCTCAAGTTCCACCCCTGTTGTCACAAATGGCAAGGTTTTACCTTTATATATACTTAAATTGTTTATTATTCCATTGTGTATAAATATCACATCTTTATCTAATCATCCCTCAGTAGGTTTGTTTTCTTATCTTGGCTAATAAATAGTGCTGCAGTGAACATAGAGGTGCATATATCTTTTCCAATTCAGATAGCTGTAAGGTGTTATTTGTTGAAGAGCAAATAGTGATGATATCAATTTTAAGGGATCACTTAAATGAGTGATGAGTTGGTAGCCAAAATAAATCCTATTAATTACAAAAAAGGCAGTGTTATAGAGTGAAATATTTCCAGAGGTGAAATATATCTTTGAAACACATTTACTCTGATCAACTGGAATACTATAGGATAATCCAAGTTCAAATTTTCTATAGTTTTCCATTAAATACTAAGACCCTCTCGAGTGTGTCAATCTCAAGAAGTTCAAGCAGAAATGTTTTTATTTCTTCAGAAATTCGAACTTGAGAATTCACCAGGTTTTAAGGTCAGTGGGCACAGCATTGAACAGACAGTAAAGTCACAAGGAAGTTAATTTTATCCCAATTATTAATATTTCAGTGATTCTCCAGATCCATAATACTTCCCCCTCTCTTTTCCATTTTTATTTTCACTGTCTCAACTGAGGGAGAATTGTAATTACACACACTTTGAGGGATTGTTTATGCACTATTTCTGGAATCTTCTTGTGGACTAAATTTTCTAAGGATGCTTTGTCATCTTGAAAAATAAATAAGATGTGATTACACCCTGGCATTTTTACAAAGCCAAGGGCTTTGCTCCATTTTGTTTGATTTTTGTCTGAACTTCTAATGTCAGAAAATTCTATCACAGATATAAAACATGCTGTCACTTACTGTGTACTACTTTGTACCTCAGTTCTAACATTTTTAATAACAGAACACATTTTCTGCCCTTGTGGATGGTGAACAAGCATTCTGAGTTGATGTAGATAAGTATAGAGCAAGCTTCTTGCAGGAAATATCTTTCTAATCAGCCATCTTGTCCTGGGCTGAGATCAAGGGACATGAAAGATACTAGGAAAAAATTTAGGAATAACAGGCTGATCAAATGTTCTCGCTTGTAAAAGAAAGCACTCAACATACTAAAGTTTAGTTCAAGTCTAGGGAATCAATATCAACCCACCTAAGGATTTTTCTAATGTTATCAAAAGTCAGATCACTAGAATTACATATGCAGTATTTTAAAGACTGACTTTTCATTTTCCCTCACCCAAAGTTGAGCATAACAAGACAGAATTTGGGGTTTTGTTTCTTTTTCCTTTCCCTGAATTCCTTTCCTGTGCATGATATATGCTAAATTACCTTACACCCCCTGTCCCTGGCTACCTTTTTAGGGCTTCTGCATTCTCTAAATGGGATTTTATTTTATTTTTTAAAATTATTTATTTATTTATTTATTTAAATAATAAATTTTATTTTTATATTCCCCATACAATTGCAACCCCCCCATCTCTAAATGGGATTTTAAAGAAGGTCTTTTAAAAAGTACGTCAAGAGGAAAAATGAAGTATTAGCAGAACAGAATCTAAGATTTATCCTCCTCTTGATTCAGGCTACTTTTGGCAATGTTTTAAATATTGTTTTGAAGATATTTGATTCCGATGATTGAATCTATGGGGAAGTGAAAGAATATAAGACAGCCTAATAAATCTTTGTCTATATCCACTTTCAGTTGCTCAGCTCTATCCAGGGGAAAAATATGATGGTAATAAATAACAGAGAACCAGGCCAAAGTTTGAGGAAGGATAAAAAATTCTTGAGGTTGAAGATACTGAGGAATTTACATAAGATAGTGAAAAGAGATATATTCTTCATACAACAGAGGATTCCAGATATCTAAAAAGAGGGGAGATGACCACCTAGATAGCCCTTAGATATGGCAGTGGAGATCCATTTTGCTTGAAGAGTTGCTAGGTGGCAAGAAGCAAAGCAGTAAGTCAATCATCCTTGCACACATAAAATGCACTCTAGATCAATGGTAATTGATGATTTAAGAATGAAGTCAGATGTTTCCTGTCTGAACCCTAGGAAACTTTTTCATTTGTTTGTTTTTTCAATGGAATACATAAGAATCGAAAGAAAAGTACAATAAACATTCTAGAAATATTAGTGAATTCATTGAAAATTCACATGAAGAGGCTTTTGTTTCAATTTGGCAGACCCACCTCTTGGCACACAATCTGCCTATTTGGGTAAAGCAAGTTTATTTGGTGAAAACCTTAGTCAAACTAATTACTTTAACAATCATGACTAGTCAATTCACTTTCAACTGTCAATTTATAATCCTCATATTCACAAAAAGCACAGGGAGTAATCATCCTTGTAAATGAGAAAAAGGAAGATAAGGGAAAAAGTGGGAGAGAGAAATTTTTTGTAGGTTTAGCACTGGAAAATTGACAGGAATGTCAATATATATATATATATATACCCTTGGTTCATTATGTAATTTTTTTGTCATTCTGACTTGCTTTACTATAGTATTTCTTCAAATTCTTTCCATTTTGCCATAAATTGCAACATTTCATTTTTTTTTTCTTATGATAGAGTAGTTTCTGTAGTGTGGATATACCACATCTTGATTCCATCTTTTATCAATGGGTATTTTAGGTTGCTTCCATGTTCTAGCCATTGCAAATAATGCTACAATAAAAATTGCATACCATATAGTTTTTTTAGTAAATGCTGAAGAGTGGGAATGCTGAGTCTACAGTATTTCCATTTTCAGTTTTTTAAAGTAAATCCAGATTGCTTTCCAAAATGGCAATACTGGCTTACATTCCAACCAACAGTGTAATAGGATTCCTCTTTCTCTACTTCTTTTCCAGCACTGTATTGTTGTTTTATTTTTTTTAATATGTGCCATTCCCAGAGGTAGGAGATGACATCTTATTGTGTTTTTATTTCATTTCCCTGATAAGTGATGATGAATATTTTTTCACGTGCCTATTGGCTTCTTTGAAGAAGTAACTATTTAGCTCTTCTGCCCAATTTTTTATTGGGTTATTTGTTTTCTTTTTGTTGAATTGTATAAGCTCTTTGTAGATCTTTGATATCAGTCTCTTGTTAGATGTATGGTGTACAAATATTTTCTCCCATTCAGTAAGGTGTATTACTGGTTTAGTTACTGTTTCTTTTGTGGTACAGAAACTGTTTAGTTTGATTTAGTTCCAATTATTCATATTCTCTTTTGTTTTCCTTGCTACTGGAGATGAAATTGCAAAGACATCACTGGTGACATACTTCCCTCATCCCCTTCCTTCTCTGTTTTCATTTATAAAGCCCTCACTACAAAGAGATAGGTTAGTGCCATTTTGAGTTATAATTTTCACAATCTGCAAGCAGAATTTTACCCATCTTGCTTCAAAGAAGAGGATCCAACATGAAGTTACCTTGACCCACTGAAGTTGGTACTTTATCTTACTAGAATTGACCCTGTATAGTTTGGCAGATGTATAAATGTCAAGTTGTCTGAGAGTGACCTCATTGGAGAATAACAAAACTGAATCTTGTCCACCCCAGAAGAAAAAGTGAGGATAATTTTAATGCTTGTTTTGGTTTTCCCATGTTAAGTAACTCAAAGTCTCTACTAAATTATGATAGTGAGTATGATTGGGGATATGTGTGCATTTAAAGAGCAAATGTGTATTTAGCTAAGTTCCCTAGAAGCATAATCTGAGATGGGGAATCTTAATCAAATGATTGATTGAATGAGTACCCTCAAGGGACATGGAATGAGAGAAACTAAGGAAGAAAGTAAAGCATTGAATAGGTTCCTGGATGAGATGGTCTTTGTTTGGTTGAGAAAAAACTCTCTGGAAAGAAGAAGTAGCAGTATATTGAGTTATAAAGCATCTGGAGGATAGCTGTCTTGGCTGGTGAAGGGCATTTGTGCAGGGCACCAGCAGCATCTACTCCATATACTGTTTCTAAGACTGTTACCCTTTGGGAAAAAAAAGAATATTTGCTTTGGAACCTGGTAGAAATTATTAAGTTACAATTCAAACATTTAATGAATTATGCTGAAACAGAGTAATTTTCTATTAAAAGATTTGCTTTCAAATTAAGTAGTTGGCATTTTGTCTCCTCAAACAGGTAATATGGTCTATAGATTTGACTCAATTAATAAATACTTGTCAACATTTTGTATATAAAAGCAGGGTGTCTGACGTTTTACAGAGGAGGGCATAGAGGTCTTAGAAAGCAAGTGCGCCCCCCCCCCGGAAAAAAGGTAAATATAGCAGCCAAATCAATAAAAATGATTTTAAATAAAAATAGAGGAAATCAAGATAATAAAAGATTATTCTTTGAAGAGATCAATGAATTAAATTCTACTTGATCAAGAAACTTTTCTTGATCAAGAAAAAAAATCTGAAAACTGCAGACCTTAAGAAAATCCTATGAATAATCCACTGCCCATAAACTCTACAAGTCAGATGAATTGAATGAATTCTTGAAAGAGAGAAACTGCCAAAACTCATTCAAGAAAAAAGTTAACCTAAATTTTACTATATCTAGTAAGGAAAACTTTCCGTAAATAGTTAAGTTCCTGGTCCAGATGGCTTCACTGATCTGTTCTACTAAACACTTAAGAATGAAAGCAAATCTATACAACTCTTCCAAAAAAAGACAAAGGAGGGGACATTTACCAATTTATTTAAGAAGACCATTAATACCCTGATACCACAACTAGAGAAAGGAAAACTTTGGACCAAAAGATGCAAAAATCTCCAGTAAATTATCAGCAAATAAAATTTAGGAATAACTATAAAGAATAATATATCACAATCAAGCAGCATCTACTTATCCAGGAATACAGAGCAAGTCCAACATTGGAAAATACAATTAGAAAAAATTATTCCACCATTTCAACATAATAAAGAGAAACCTCTTAGATGCACAGAGAATTACTATACAAAGTTCAAGTTTCATTCATTATATATATAAAAAACCTCAAAACATGTGAAACAACTTCCTTAACCTCATAATGAGTAAGATATGCACATGAACATGAATGTGCACACATGACTTAAAGCTAAAATCTTACTTAAGGGTGGTTTGAATTATTTCCTCCTAAGATTGGGAATAAAGAAAAGATATCTGCATTCATACTTCTGTCTCATATTATACTAGAAATCCCAGTTTGTTCAGCTGCACAAGGAAAAAAACATAAATGGTGTACTTACTGAAAAGGAAGAAACAAAACTGTCTCTATTCAAAGGTGACATAAATTGTCTATGTAGAAAATCACAGAGAAACTAAAACAAGAAAAGCTCAAATAACTATTGACTTCAGTAAATTCATAGGCTATAAGATCAATATACAAAATAATCACATTTCTATATACTATAAATGTTTACAAGTAAGAGTTTTCAACAGCCGTCACAAGGATAGTGGATATGTTTAGCATATAGAGGATGTTCAATAGAGGATGCTCAATAGAGGGTGTTCAATAAACATTTTTTGGATAGTTACGTGCCAGTTGGTTTTCAAATATATTCAATTTTTATTTTTTAATACATTTTACATTTCAAAATATGTTATGGGTTTTATTAAAATGATCTGATATTCTCAAAAGTATAACAATTACTTATGGAAAATCAGCTGAAAATAAGCTAGGTAGATAGAAGCAGCAAAACTATCTCAAAGGATTGTACTGATTAATTAATCTACCTTAAAAAATTGAATCTATTTAGCGGTGGTATACAAACGAGCATTGTATTCTTCTTGGAAGATAAGCTTGTTCCAGATCTGTTATTTTTCAGTTTGTGCACTGTCAGTGTTCTTCGCAAATTTAGTACCAATCTTGACTGCTGGGGGAGGAGAAGTGATAAAAAATACTGTGGCTTGGCATTCTAAAATGAGGATTGGAAAGTGTGTACAGTGAAAATTTGGGGG